AACCAAATCAGCAATCGCTGCAGCAGAGCAGACAGTGAGCAATGCAGGTTCAGCTATAATGAAGAACCGGTATGTTCTCACAGGTGCCACGTGGGTCACTGGAGCCTTTAACAAAGTTGCTAAAGCTGCAGAAGAAGTTGGACAAAAGGCTAAAGAGAAAGTTGGTATGGCTGAGGAAGAGGATAAGAGGAAAGTGGTTGATGAGTTTGCTAGAGTTCACTTGTCTGAATCACCAAAGGCAGCTTCATCAACGCAAGAAGCCGAACATGAATCAAAACTCTCTGAATCTCCTAAAGCAAAGAAAGAATCTGAACATCTTGAGCCACAACTGCAGCAACAATCTCCTCCACCTATGGCTCCAGCTCCGGCTCCTGCTCAACCTTGAGATATGCAGACAAGTAAAGACCTTTCCGATTCTTGTTGTAAGCGGTAATACTTGGAACTAATCTCTCTCAGATTGTTGAAGATGAAGATTGAACTTGTTATTTAGGACGAAGACTTGTGTTCTTGTAACATTGGATTCATGGTCGATTTGGTAATTAGACCTGAAAAAAAGAAAACAATTTTGTCCTTATGGTTTATCTTAAAGTTATCTCAAAACTAGTGAAGAATATGAGTTTAGTATTTTTAACCGGGCTAAGACCATCTCCAATGCCCAACTCTATAATTTCCTCTATTTTAGAGGAGATTTTGCTCCAATGTATCCTTCTAAAATAGAGTTTCCTCTAAAATTGAGGAGAGAGACAATGTATGCTTCTATATATAGAGTAATCTATTGTCTCTCTCCTCTATTTTAGAGGGATACATTGGAGCAAAATCTCCTCTAAAATAGTGTTCCTCTAAAATAGAGGAAATTATTGAGTTGGGCATTGGAGATGCTCTAATATTAACTGAACCAAAATACCGATCGATTTTTCTTTTTAACTAGAAAATATAATAATGTTCTTATTTTTTGTCAACAAGTAATGCTAGTTTCAGTCATATTTTTATTTGGTCACCAATTTGATTAGATAAAGTTACAATCAATTAGGCTGGCGTCAAGTGATTTATGTAACTGAAAGTAACCAACCAAAATTGATCTTACAAAAACATTTGACAGGAAACGCTTTGGTTCTGTGATTTAAGAACTCTTTCCCTAATCATAAAGATTGTAAGCACTTTAAATTCGGGAAAATCACATTCTTAACCCTCAAAGTGTAACTGGATAGCACTTTAAACCTCGAAAGAATTCTACTAACACTATAAACCACCAAGATTGTTTTACTAACACTTTAAACCTCCAAACTAGTTTTTCTGTTTGCAAAGCTATAAAAAATGATGGAACAATCAATTTATGTTTGTTTAATATATATTTATTTAATTTAAATTAAATTTTAATTCATTTTATTATTTATTACAATTTTGACGATAAATAAAAAAGTAAAAAAAAAAATCATCATCTTCGACTATTCACCGTCCAACCACAATTTTCAGATTTTTATTTAGTTTATTGTATATGCTGACCATCTTTTTATTCAATTGATATTATGAGATTCCTATTTATCCAGTGGAGAGAGTGAAAACGCTTATGGATCAGTTTAAAAGATTGTTTCAACAGTTTATCAAGAAATTTCATGGTCGGACAGTGAGTAAACGAAGAAAATAAAGTTTTTTTTTTGTTTTTATAGATTTTTATTAATTGCAATAAATAATAAAATTAATTAGAATTTAAATTAAATTAAATAAATATATATTAAACAAACATAAATTGATTGTTTCATCATTTTTTACAGCTTTGCAAACAGAAAAGTTAGTTTGAAGGTTTAAAGTGTTAATAAAACAATCTTGATGGTTTGTAGTGTTAGTAGAATTCTTTCAAGGTTTAAAGTGCTTCCCAGTTACATTTTGAGGGTTAAAAATGTGATTTTCCCCTTTAAATTCAAATGAGTATCAATTAAGAATAAATGTAAATATTGACCTTTGACAAAAGTAAAAGAAGAAAATCTTGACCAATTAAATACCTTATCAAAAATATTTTGTTCTCAAGTGAAAAAAGAACAGACTATTCATATTTCATGGTATAAAAGAAAAAGAAAATTCGTTTTGTTACAATTATAAATTGTTTGTAAACACATCATCTTAATTGAAAATCACTACAAAAAGAAAAAGAGTATAAACACAATAAAAATGGAGAAATCAGCTTTGACATTCATTGGAATTTTACTCTTTTCAACATGTGAGTTTACAACAAATTTTATGTTCCAATTGTATATAAATCAATTCGATGATGCCGAAAAGAAAAACGAATCAATTCAATGATTTTTACAGGTACCCCAATTCGAGCACGAACCGGATATGTATCTTGCAAGACGAACTCTGATTGTGTTAAACTCAAATGTCCAACACCATTTGGTACCCCCAAATGTATGAACGGTGGATGTGAATGCCCCCTTGAAGAACTGGTGACATTACCGGATGATATCAATTGTGGTGTGGCTGCTTGCTCTGACTATTGCAAGGCAAAAGGTGAACATGCTTATGCTTGTATCTCAAACCATTGTTACTGTCACAAACCTCCCATGTAATTTTAAGAGGTTTCTATATAAGGTCTTCAAATATCTATTTTTTTTTTTTTTTTTTTTGACATCTTTGGATCGACAAGGCCCGATCCATAGCCAATCCCTACTACGCGGGGTAACGCGACTTAGTGGAGTCGAACTCCGGTGGAGAAGGCGGAGTCAAGTGGACTTAACCACTTGACTAAAGGCACATCCCCATCTATTTTTTTATTACTATTAATGTCTTTTGAATATCGATCATATCATTTAATTACAATAGTGTTTATGTTTGGACATTTGACTGAAAATTAACCTTGGTTGGAATGTTTTTCTTTCACTTATTTTTCAGATTCAATCTTCATTTGTCTATTTTATGTACTTAATTGTTGATGAACATAATACAAGTTGGAAAATAAATATCAAAGTGACCTTAAAGATAATTTGATATTTTATCATGTTCGTTAGTTTCCTAAATCAGACTATATATAAATATGTTAGATACTCATTAAGAATATATTTGTCTATCGAAATTAAAGAAACAACAAGAATTGTAGTCTAGTTAAAATAAAGCTAGTTCAACGAAACTCTAGTGACAATCCGCGAAACTTCATTGAGAATTGGGGATAAATCTATCAAACTTGTATGGTTCAAACGTTGGAAAATGTTATGGTAATAACGAATCTAGTTATGTTTTGGATAATCCAGCGAAATATATGTCAAAAAAATCCATTGAAACCATAGATTCATGTTGCGGGTCAATTTCAAAAATAGTTTTTGATTTTGGTTGGGCTTCGATTTAAATGGTTAATCATAATTATTTAGTTCGTTGAACTTGAAAGACAAAATTTTAGAATTCACTAGAATCCATTAGAAAAGAGTAAATATAAATTTTAGATAATTCTTAAATGAATTTTTAAATTAATAAAAATGGAATGAAGGTTGTGTTTTGTGATATTATACATTATAAAGGATATTACTTAGATATGGATGAAATAATGCTAAACTAAAATAATAAAATTAATGATGTTATCTTAGTTTAATAATTAATGATGTTATTGCTTACAAAAAATAAAAATAATTAATTTCCAATTTAATACCTTAAGAAACATCAAACTAGGTAATTTTCCACTCTCTTAACAAACAACTTAGGTATAAAATCTTGTTACATGAAGTAAATCAGGTATTTACCAAAAGTATCTATACTAGTATAATCGCAGCACTTTTTGTGACGGGTGGGTAAAAAAGTTTTCGGGTATATCGGATATCCGACCCATTTTAAAAATTCCTTCACAAAAAATTTGTTGGGTCGGGTTATATTTAACCCAACTCATACACCGGATATTCCATATTTAATAATTTAGATTTTTAGAAGATTTGATTAAGATTTATAATTATGATTCTCCTATCATCTTTGTTTGATTTGTTTTTAACTGTTTTGAATCATCATATAATACATAAAGTAAAAAAAAAAAATCAATTTTTTTTCTGCATATACTGCGATTCGAAATTTTAAAAATGGACATATATTATCCAATTGACGAAAATGTGTGTTCAACGTTCTACATCGATTAAAATATTTAGACAATGATTCAGAATCATATCATAAATAAGAACATTAATAAAATAAATGAGTTTTTTGGCGGGATGGGTTTGGCGGGACGGGTTTTTGAATCAACAATAACAAAAAGATTAAAATATCATTAATCCGCCGCTTCAATACGGATTTAATCCTTATTTTTTTTAATACAAATCACAAGACGGATTAAGAAATTACGGAACGGGTTATATTTCGGAAATGATTTATATGGCGGACGAATTTGAATCAATATTTATATACCGCTTTAATACGGGTTAAATCCTCAGTTTATTAATAATTATCTCGTGGACTCGTGGTATACCGTTACTTAATAACAATTGTAAACTATAATATAAATAAATATGTTATAAGGAGATACAATTTACAAAATATTTTTATACTAACTTTAAAATTAAATCATCCCGCGGTGTACCGCGGGTTAAAATCTAGTTGACCAGTAAAATAATTAGCAAAACATATTTTGCTTGCGGGGGAAGAAAACGAAATTGTTTTCTTACACTTATAAATGCAAACATATACAATGAGTTATTGATGTTATCTAGTGTGTATAAATAAAAACTTATAATAAATGAATGAAATCATGCTAAACTAAAATACAAAATCATGCTAAACTAAAATAACAAAATTAATGATGTTATCTTAGTTTCATCATTAATTTATTATTATATAACTTAAATATCCAATTTATTATATCCAACAAATTAAATACAAAAAATCATGCTAAACTAAAAAAAAAAAAATTAATGATGTTATCTTAGTTTCATCATTAATTTTGTATAAATACAAACTCCAAATCCTCCACTTTAAGTCACACAAAGAAATCAAAACACAAGAGAAATATACAAACTTATTCAACAAAAATGCAGAAAGCAGCTTCGATATTTATCGGTCTTCTACTTTTCTCAACATGTAAGTAAAATTTGTGGACCATATGTTTAGTTTCATACTTACATTCATCACCATCACCATCACCATCGTCATCTTCATCATCGATATTATATATCATCATGATCAATAACATATTAAATCTCATAGGTACTCAAATTCTGGCACAATCTTGCAAGAATGAATCTGATTGTACTAATCTAAATTGTGCAACCAAGATCAAGTGTGAGCAGAACAAGTGTCAATGCCTTGATGAAAGATACGTCCGCGCGATATCCCTTAAGACGAGGTGTAATGTTCAATCTTGCATTGACTTATGCAAATCAAAAGGCGAAGTAATTTATGTTTGTGTCTCATACCGTTGTTATTGTCGCAAACCTCCAATGTAATTATATAACTAATAACAAGCTTAATTATAATTGTAGTATCTTTTAACTTCTTATATTACTCTGTTTATCGGAGAGTAAAGTAATATATCTTACATATCAAATTTTACTATCACCTTATAAATTGTTTTATATTAATTTATTTACGAGTTATTGTAAATTTTTTATAATCATATAGTTATATTTTTATAATCATATAGTTATAGATTGGTGTTTTTGTTATAATGGGCTTGGATTGTTAGGGTCCTTAAGTAAAAATGGGCTTCGGGTTATCAAGTGTGAGCAACGCGATTGTACTACACGGACTTGGAACGCGCGTTAGAGAATAAAGTTTGACTGAGATCCTAAATATTGACTTTTTTGAAACGACTGTGCAAAAAGATTTGATTTGACTCTCTGCTTCCTTCGAGGAAAAAAAGAAGTAGAGTGTTGGACAAGCTTTTTGTCTCTCTGTTATTCCGTTAAATATCGCCGTTAAAGAGTAACGGACGCCGTTTACTCTCCCTGGTCCGGTAACTATTTGATTGACAGTTTTAACATTTTTATCTCTTCAGTTTCTCTGAAGCTAACACAAGGTAAAGTAAAAAAAAAAAAAAATTGAGAGTGAAGCAAAAGATGAAGTGAAACCAAACTCTTTAAACTCACTCTTATCTTCTTTTCAGTGATTGATTCTTCATTTTTCTTTGTCTGATTTGAAATGGAAACGAAAGTCGAAAAAAAAATGTACGGAGATTATCAAGCGATGAAATCAGGCGAAGAAGAAGAAGAAGGACATGTGTTTTTAAATTCCGACAACATTTTCGGTTCGGTGTCTTCGTCTCCGACAACAACAATCCAAAACCCTAACTACAAATTCACCTCCTTCGACAACCCAAATTTCCCTTACATTTTTCCGGTTTGTCTTCGCTTCCAACCAAAAACCCTAACTTTTTTTACATCTTTTTCTTAAAAAGTTGATAACTTTTAGTGTTTTGGTTGTTTAGAAAGAGGAGTATGAGATGACGAGCATGATCGAAAGCGGGTCGGGTATGTCAACCTGGTCGGGTCATGACCCGGTGGAGAATACTGCAATCGAACAAGAGCCTCCTCCGGCGAAGAAGAAACGTAACCATAGACACACTGCTTGTCAGATTCAACAAATGGAAGCGTACGTCTTTGCCGTTTTCTTTTAAGATTACAAGGAACTATTTCGATATTTTTTTTTGGTAACGATTTCGTATGAAAAAATGTTTGCTTAAATTATTGGTGTTTATCGTAGATTGTTTAAGGAAAATCCTCATCTGGATGACGAAAAAAGATTGAGATTAAGTAAAGAACTTGATCTCTCGCCACTACAAGTCAAGTTTTGGTTTCAGAATAAACGTACCCAAATCAAGGTATAATCACTCTCTATTTAATTTGGTTTGATTTTTAACAAGGTTAATTAGACCGTATAAACCGGTTCAAATGGGGGATAGAAACTCTGGCTCAGCCTAAACATGTTAAAAATTTAAGCTTTTTATTGTTGCTAATACTAAGATTAACAGGCACAACAAACAAGAAGAGATAATGTAATGATGAAAGCAGAGAATGAGACTCTAAAGACAGAGAGTCAGAATCTTCAGTCCAGTTTACAATGCCTCTCTTGCTCTTCTTGTGGACACAACCTCCGCCTCGAAAATGCCCGCCTCCGCCGAGAGGTATGTATATTGGAATGAATCAAATCTTGGCCGTTGTTGTTTATTTACTGAATCATACGGTTTATTATATGTTGCAGCTTGATCGCTTACGCAGCATTGTTTCGATGAGGAATCCTCCTCCTTCACAAGAGATTGCCTGTTTCTCCCCGCAGATTAATAACAACAACAATAACATGTTGATTGCGGAAGAAGAAAAGGCGATTGCGATGGAACTTGCGGTTTCTTGCGCTCAAGAATTAACAAAGATGTGTGACATAAATGAGCCCTTGTGGAGTAAGAAGAGACTATACAATGATAGTGTGTGTCTGAACGAGGAAGAGTATAAGAAGATGTTCTTCTGGCCTCCAATGACTGATGATGATCGTTTTCGCAGAGAAGCTTCAAGAGCTAATGCAGTCATCATGATGAATTGCATAACCCTCGTCAAAGCATTCCTTGATGCTGTAAGAATAAGTCAAACACACATTTCTTTAAAGTTTAAATTCATTTTCATAAAATCCACGTTTAACATAAATATGTTAAACTTTTGCTTCAAGGATAAATGGTTTGAAATGTTCTGCCCGATAGTCTCAAGCGCCAAAACGATTCAGATCATTTCTTCTGGAGCCTCTGGGCCAAGTGGTACTCTTCTTCTGGTGAGTAATTACAGTTTTACAATAGTTAAAGTGAACAAAATTAATTGGTTTTCTTGTAACTGAGTCTTGTCTCTCTTTTCAAAAAGATGTTTGCAGAGTTACAAGTAGTGTCTCCATTGGTACCAACAAGAGAAGCTTATTTTCTTCGGTATGTGGAGCAAGATGCGGAAGAAGGAAAATGGATGATTGTAGATTTCCCGATCGATAGGATCAAACCAGCATCAGCTACTCTTACTGATCAATACCGGAGAAAACCTTCTGGTTGCATCATTCAAGCAATGCGTAACGGATACTCTCAGGTCACATGGGTAGAGCACGTGGAAGTAGAAGAGAAGCTTGTGCAGGACGAAATGGTTAGAGAGTATGTGAAGAGCGGTGTGGCCTTTGGCGCTGAACGGTGGCTAGCTGTGTTAAAGAGACAGTGTGAAAGGATGGCTAGTTTCATGGCTACAAACATCACTGACCTTGGAGGTATATAACTTGTTTCACAAGTAAACCTCAAACTTCCACAACCAATGTGATTTGTTATCCGTTTTCTCGTGTTTTTTCTTCAGTGATACCTTCTGTAGAAGCAAGGAAGAACTTGATGAATCTGTCACAGAGAATGGTTAGAACTTTCTGTCTGAACATAAGCAATTCATATGGACAAGCATCAACAAAGGACACAGTGAGAATCGTAACCAGGAAAGTGTGTGGTGGTCTTGTTCCTTGTGCCGTGTCAGTCACGCTTCTTCCTTATTCTCATCACCAAGTCTTTGATCTTCTCAGCGACAATCAACGTCTCTCTCAGGTAAAATTTAAAACTAGAATCTTCTTCATCTCTGTTCTTTTGATCCAAAGATTCTGAAATCTAAATTTGAGATCTTTTCTCTCTTCTGCAGCTGGAGATCTTGTTCAATAGGAGTTCATTTCAAGAAGTTGCTCATATCGCTAATGGATCACATCCTGGAAATTGCATCTCTCTTCTTCAGATCAATGTTAGCGATGACTTCAAAATCACGAAACTTTTCAAAATCCCAACAAAAAATTTGAATTTTTAATGTAAAAAGTTTGGTTCTTGAATTACAGGTGGAGAGCAATTCATCGCAAAAGGTAGAGTTGATGCTTCAAGAAAGTTGCACCGATAACTCCGGCAGTCTCCTGGTGTACTCCACTGTCGAACCCGAAGCCGTTCAGCTTGCTATGGTGAACGGCGAGGATCCTTCTAAACTCCCGCTTTTGCCCGTTGGATTCTCTGTTGTTCCAGTGAATCCATCCGATGGCGTCGAGGGCATTTCCGTCAATTTGCCTTCGTGCTTTCTCACAGTTGCGGTACAGGTCTTGGGGAGCAACGTCACCACCGCAAAACTCGATCTTTCCACCGTCTCCGCCATCAACAACCGTATTTGCGCCACTGTCAACCGTATCACCTCCGCGCTCGTTAACGACGTCGGTAATTAGCAGAAGATTTGGAGGGTATTTTGGTAAATAATGCGCAGCTAAAAAACTGATTAGGTATTTATTTTGTAGATGAGGGTAAATTTGATCCTATACAAAGGGTAAAAACTGGAATTTACCACTAAATCTTTTGGGGGAGTCAAGAACGCACCAAGGCATGATTTGTTGAACCGGGTTTTATCCGGTTTTAAAAATGCTTGACTGGTTCGGGTATTGACTTCCAACTTGGATAAACCAACCCGTTTTATATTATGGTTTTGTTCTTTTTGTTGCAAGAGTTCAATGCTAATTTTCTTAATCTACTGTACTTATGGTTTAAAATATTCTACAACTATGGAAAACTTTAAGATAGTCGAGTTTTATAATATTTGCATCTTCACGTGATAACTTAATATAAAGCCTTCTCACGAAAGCAGTTACTTGAAACACCTCACAGATCAATCGCTCAGAAACCAAACAATCCACTTAACAATATTGTCGAGCGTACACAATTTATTTGGAAAAGGTTCTTCTTACTATAGCTATGCTTTCACGAGTCTCGTGTCCAAGATGACGCTTAGGATTCCGTCCCTTGTTCGAGTGGTACTTGTACTTTATGTAGAAAAATGCATTCCTGGCCATGAGTCTCTCACTTGGCGGTTCCACATTTTCGTCGAGGTAATGCCAACATATGTATATATACATACTTTAAAAGGTTCTTCTTCCTTACATGGCACAAATAATATTGCTTCTTACATACCAAAAAATGATTGATTATGTCTTATTCGCTTAAAATTTGCAACAGTAAACAGTCTTATTCTCAGATATTCCCACATTGCACCAAAACCAAGAACTCTTAATGCATTTCCTTAAATTTTGTCTTTGTACTGATTTTCAATTACTTTACTAATCAAAATAAAACAAATTTAATAGACTAGCAACAATGAA